CGCCAACGCCCCGGGACCGGACCCTCGCGCCGCCCGCCCGCCCGTGGTAAGCGCTCGGCGGACCCCGGGGCAAGGCCCGCCCCCGACGCCGCGGCGGCCGCCCGAGCCTGCGGGGAAGCCGGAGCCAGCGCGCGGGTCCAATCCTTGTCCCTTCCCCGAGGCCACCACCGGCGCGTCCGACCCCCGCCCCTCCCCGCCGCCGGACCCTACCCCGGGGCGGCCCCAGGAGGCCGGCGCCCCGCTCGGCGGCCGCCCGCCTGTCCGTCCGTCTGTCCTCCGCGCGCACCCCGCGCACCTGGCGCCCCTCCCTGAAGGGCACGCCGTCCTCCCGGCCCGGTCCGGCCCGCGCCTTCCCACCCCCGCGCTCCTAACGGTCGCCCCTCTGGGGTCCGTCCTCCCTGGCACCCAAATGCCCCCGCGCTGACCTGGTCCCTCCTCCTCGGGAGGTGTCTCCAGCGTGCTACCCGGTTCCTAGTGGAACGAGCCGGGCCTCGCCGGGTCTGTCCTATCACTTCGGCCAACATGGAAGCTTCTGTTGCTACCCATGCACCTCGCTTAGTTCTTCAACCTACGTTTCTTCCTGCATTTCTTCCAGGCGGTCACCTTAGTGCTTGGTCATCGAGGTCCCCCTCCGTCGCCCCGTCTCGTGAAACACCTGCCTTACAGGGTCTGGCTGCTGTTCTTCCCCAAATCCAGACCAGGCCCTTCCTACCCATGTCCCCTGGTACTGCAGCTCTCCCGGCCACAGCCCCGCTCACACTTTGCCATTTTTTGTTGTTGTTGTTGTTTCTTTTTTGGGGTTTTTTGGTTTTTTTGCCAGTAACTTGAAAGAGTCCTTCCTCTCCATGCTCTTACACCCAGTCCTTACTCCAACTCTCAGTTAACTTCCAGGTCTGTGCCATCCTAGCTAGTACTGGGCACCGGGAGACACTGAACAAGTACTTACTGGCTGGATCTTTCCGCTACTCCATTCTTTCTCGTCTTACTCCTTTCTTGTCTCTCAAAGTGCTGCCTTCCCAAAGATCGTCACTGCGCAGCCCCCTCCGAACATGTCAGCTTCCACTCAGTCCCCAAAACCTGTTTAGACCCAGTGTTCAGCCTCCCTTGGCTGCTTAAAAGTGGGAATTGAGTCCCTGCTTCTTACCTCTCTCCGTTCTTAGGCCAGCCACTTCTATCCCATATTTCCACGTTTATTTCCTATACTGTAGATCTTGGTCCTCCAGTTGGGAGGGACTTGAGGCAGGTCTGGACTTTGTGTTCCCTGATGTTGCCTGCCCCCCCCCCCACCCCCGCAGCCTACCTTGCAGGTCTCAGATGGTGATTCTGTTCAAGTGAGTTTATGTGTGTAAACTTCTGGACTGGCTTTGTCATCCAGACACGTTTGTACTGTGTGTTTGAGGCATCAGGGACCCCAGTTTGCTCTTGCTTTTACGTCTGTGGTTGGAGTTCGGGTTAGAAAAAAATAGTCCCACTCTAGAAGAGAAAAGTTGAGAAGATGAAAGATTTTATTTATTTATATATTTTTTGAGTCTAAGAAGAAATTTGAAAGGGCTTCGAACTCAAGTGAAAAGGCTGAGACTTTGGGATGGCCTTTGATGCCACGCACATACCCAGTCTTGGATAGTGTTGAGGACATCAGGGTGCCCTGTTAGGGCAGCTGCATCCTCCTTTGTTTTCCCTGGCTAGATCCCCAGGCTGGGCAAGTGGGCAGAGGGATCAAATGAGGTAAAGTGTGCTTGGAAAACTGTTGACTAGTACTCACTTGCCAAGTGGTGGTGGTATTTTGTCACAGCAGCTTAGAGCTAGGATAACGGACCACTCTGGAGGAATGCAGGCAGGTGGGCCTACAGCCCTTTTAATCCTCAGAGTCCTCATCCCACCACGCATGGAGGGTGTTTCCATCCTGGGAAAGGGCCAAGTCACCTCCAGCAGGCTTGGGGCTCTGGGATTCTGCCTCTTGTTAACAGTGACACAGGGTGGTGCCAAGGCACATTTTTCCCTAATTTTAGGAGTGATGGAGTCAGGAAATAGTGTTCTTAACTTAATGCTGGGACCACCTCTTCTGTGCATGTTTTCCTTCTCCAGGGAGTTCTGAACCCTACCAAACAGGCTCCCTGTCCCTCAAGCCATTTCAGAGCTCTCAGGACCAGCTCTGCCCTCTCCCCTTGTCTCCTGCAGAGGGCAGCCTTTTAATAGCAATAGTTCAGATGGGTAGGGATGGAGGGTACTCTGAGGCCCAAAGAAGGAGTAGGAAGGGGGCCAGAAGCTGAGGGTTAGAGCCAGGGGCTGGGGGACAGCTTGGGTGGAGGAGGAGACTCCTAGCCTAAGCAGCCAGGAGCAGGTGAGGTGGGAAAGGACTGGGTCCCTAGTCCTAGCCTGCCACCTGTCCCCCTTCATTAGAAGGCGATTCACATGCCTGGCTTTGGGAGTGTGTGATGGCCTTTGCTTGCTATTGCTGTTGTTTTTTTAAATCTGTTCTTAGGGATTTCCCTCCTGGTAGGACTTGAGACTTCTGTCATAGGACATTGTAACTAGGGAAGTGTTTCCTTGCTATTCAGAGGGGAAAATGAATGAGTGTCACTGGTTTCTCTTGTCTCTTATCCTCTTTCATAAACACTAAGACTTTTCCTGGGCTTGTGGGTAGAAGGGGTTTTCTCAGTCTTGGCACTGTTGGCATCTTGTACCAGATATTTTTTGTGGTGGGATTATTTGTAGATTGTCTAGCCTCAGCCCTCTAGATGCCAGTAGTATCTTCTGCCCAGCTGTAACAGCCCCTAATGGCCCCTCATTGCCAAAACCCCCTGGGGAGCACAGCCACCCTAGTCAAAAGAGTCCCTGGCTTCCAGGCCACGTGCGGCATAGGAACATACCTATCAGCAGGGATGGGAAGCCAGTGGTGGCTTGAGTGCTGCTTAACTGGTCCCTTCAGTCTAAGGAAGGGTCCAAGTGGCCCCAGCTCCTGGTACCCTGTCATTCTTTGTCTGGACCCAGAAACTTACGCTCTTTCCTGACTTCTCCCCAACAGGGAGGGTGGCTTGAGCTGTCTTCTGCCTCTTACCTTGCCTGCCAGTCCCCTGCCTGTGCAGTGTCCTTGCTGTTCTTATTTTGCCTCTGCTTATTCTTTTGGACCAAGACAGCCACGTAAGAGCAGGAACAGGAAGCTTCCAGGAGGGCTGCCAATGTCCCCGTCCTCCCCTAAGGGTGGGTACCCCTTTTCTGGCTCATGTTCCCCTCTCCCTAAAGCCTTCCCACACCTGCAGGCTTAGTGTTTGCCCCACAAGAAGGAGTGAACTGAGAAGGCTCAAAAATAACTTCTTAAAGGTTTTTTTTTTTTGGTTTTTTTTGGTGGGACTGAGGTTTGAACTCAGGACTTTGCACTTGCAAAGCAGATGCTCTACCACTTGAGCCACACCTTCAATGCATTTTACTCTGGTTATTTTGGAGATGGTATTTGGTGAATTGTTCATCTAGGCTGGCCTCAAACTGTGACCCTCTTGATCTCAGCCTCCCTAAATCTTTTTGTGTGTGTGCGCACATACTACGGATGGGACTCAGGGCCTGTGCTTGTGAAGTGGCGACTCTACCACTCAGCACCACCAGCCCCACGAGAGCTTTTTAAGACAATTTTTCTGGCAATACTGGGGTTTGAACTCAGGGCTTCCCACTTGGTTGGCATATGCTCTACCACTTGAACCATGCCCCCAGCCCTTTTTTGCTTTAGTTATTTTCCAAATAAGGTTTCAAATTTTTGCCTCGGGCCAGCCTTAGACTGTGATCCTCCTACAATCCTACCTATGCCTCTTAACAGCTGGGATCATGGGTGTGCAGCACCACTCCTGATATGTTAGTTGAGATGGGGATCTCACATACTTTCTGCGTGGGCTGGGCTCAATCTGTGATCCTCCCACTCTCTGCCTCCTTAGTAGCTGAGATTACAGGCATGCACCGCTGTGCTTAACCTGTTAAAAATTACTGATGTGAAGTTTTTCACTTTAAACTTTCTTTTTGTAGTCCTGGAGTTTGAACTCAGGGCCTCATGCTTGCTAGGCAGGTGCTCTGCCCTTTGAGCCACTCTGCCACCCCTGTTTTGTGTTTGGGATTTTCTTCATAGGGTCTCATGAACTATTTTGCACGGGCTGGCTGCAAACCTCAATCCTCCTGATCTCTGCCTCCTGAGTAGCTAGGATTACAGGCATGAGCCACTGGCTCCTGGCTTATCACTTTAAACATTTTTAAGTGAGCAGTTTCTGTGGCCATCACCATCATCATCTCTAGAGCCTTTTACTTGCCTTTGGCTGAAATCCTTTTTACTTCCAGTCCATGACTTTGATCGCTCTGGGTACTTCTATCAGATGTCCTGTAGAGTTTGAATGTTTTGTTTTGTTTTGTTTTGTTTCCCTTACCATCATGTCATCAGAGTTTGCCCAGTGGCCACATCACATCAGGGTTGTAGTGTAAAAATGTGAGTCTACTCTGCAGGCCTTGGAAGCTCTCATGAATACAGCAGAAGGGCGGAAGGAATAGCACTTGGCTTCCCGTCAGCCCCTCCTGGCGCTCAGCTAGGTGTGGAGGGTCTCCAAGCACTGTCATCACCCTGGACCCCAGGGTGTGGTGATTCTAGGCCACCCTGATGTCTTTCAGGGTTGTGTGAGCTCCAGGAGAGAGCTTCTTTCCTAGTAGAAAGAGGCTGGTAGAAACCCTCTTCCTCCTTCCAGACTCCTGGCATCCTGGAGTGGATGGGCACTGCAGAGGCACACCGGTCCAGCCTTCCTCCCAGCCAGTGACAGAAGCCCTCGAGTACCCTCTAGACACTGCCTGCCTTTTGTCCTGTGCTCCTGTCCTGCCTGCCCACAAGAGCCCCCTCCTGGGAGTCTCCGCCCTCATTCCTTAGAGGACCCTTATTGCTGCTGCCACGTCTCTTGTCAGCCCCAATGACTGACTTGCTTTCTACTCTATGGTGAGGGAGTCTTTTTCTGGTGCTTACCCTGGTGACAATAAGCCTAGATCTGTTGTTCGAGGGCAGTTCTTGAAAGAGTCTGGGGGTTTGCTCCTCTTTGGTAAACCAGCACCAGGATGCCTTGGCCAGCCTTAATCTGCCCAGAGCCTGTCTTTGGCCCTGGAATTGGTTATCTGCTCCTTTTTAGTTGGGTTCCTCTCCATACCCCATCCCAGGATTCTTGTGTCCAAGTAGCCATCCCTTTTTTTGAGACCATATGCTATGTAGCCCAGGCTAGCCTTAAACTCGATGTGTAGCCTAGGCTGACCTCAAACTCACAGTCCTCCTGCCTCAGCCTTCCAAGTGTTGGGATTACAGGTGTAATCACCTCATTTCTTTTGAGGGGAGTAGTTTTGTTCTCACTTTGTTTTGTTTTTTTGGGGGGTTTTTTTTTTTTTTTTGGTTGGATTGGGGTTTGAACTCAGGGTTTCATGCTTGCAAAGCACATACTCTACTGCTTGAGCCACACCTCCAGTCTGTTTTGCTGTGGTTATTTTGGGGATGGGGTCTCATGGTTTGCCTGGGCTGGCCTTGAACCTTGATCCTCCCGATCTCATCCTCCCAAGTAGCTAGGATTCCAGGCATGAGCCCCGGGTGCCCGATTTGTTCTTGTGTTTGTATCTATAATCTTTCTCTCCAAAACTGACCTTTTCTCTCTAGAATATTTGCGGCCCCAGTGGCTTTTTTTTGCTTGTTTGTTTTATGGCCCCGAATGTCTATTCCTGCTTTAGTCACTTCCTTAGTCACCCTGGCTATGTCTTTCAGTGAGAGCACTGGTGACAAGTGCATTCTTGACCACACCGCAGCATGTAGCTCATGTCCTCCTGTGCAATAGGCAACTCTGTGCCTCTCCAGAGGGCTGGCAGAGTGGCTCAGGTGGTAAGAGTGCCTATCTAGCAAGCATGAGGCCCTGAGTTCAAGCCCCAATGCCACAAAAAAAAAAGAGAGAGAGAGAGAGATACACACACATATTCTAGGACTCTCCAGTTCTTCAGGACAGAGGATGACCAGAGGCAGGGATTTCATCTAGTTTAACCACCCCTGCTTGTCCTTGCTTCTCCTTGATGATCTTTCCTAGATGTGAAGGTCCCTTCTGGGTGCTTGAGGCCAGACCAGTAGCCAGTGGCTTTGGGGATCCTAGTTCAGTCCAGCACTAGGCCGTGTTGAAGAGATCCCAGCCCTACTGCTTTCAGAGCAGGGCTGCCAGGTAAGTGTTGGACCGCAGGAGGGCTCCCTGAAGAGATGAAAGGGGTCTGAGGTTTTCTATTTGCTCTGTCCGCCAGATCTCTCCCTGCCTTGACCCAGCTTTGGTTACCTCATGGTCCGAGTGACCACGTGGCTAGTATAGGTGAGTCTTTTCAGAATCCAGGTGACCCACCTACTAGCCCATTATGGTGCCCATCAAGGTGGGAGACCCATGGCTGACCCGCGGAGTGCGGAGTTTGTCTTCTGTCCTCACAGCCTTCTGTCCACAGGTGTTTGAACAGTGTGCACCAACTATTCCTCTGCTCATCCTCAACCCCTGGAAGCACCTTTAGCTACACTATGGCGGCAGAGACTCTCAACTTTGGGCCTGAGTGGTGAGTCACATGTACTGTGGCTGTGTAGAGAAGCTCGGGAAGAGGAGCAGGGTTGCTTGGACTTCAGTCTCTTTCCTTCCCTACTGTGCTTGTTCTAGGCTGAGGGCCCTTTCCAGCGGTAGCAGCGTGGCTTCCCCACCCTCATCCCCTGCCATGCCCAAGTACAAGCTGGCTGATTACCGCTACGGGCGAGAGGAGATGCTGGCCCTTTATGTCAAGGAGAACAAGGTGGGGTGGCAGGGTGGGAGTGGGGCTCCCTCACGTATTTGGCTCTGCAAGTGAGAAGCCCCGGAGCATGTCATGTTTTGGTCCTCCTGCCCCACCCAACAGGTCCCTGAAGAGCTGCAAGACAAGGAGTTTGCTGCAGTGTTACAGGAGGAACCGCTGCAGCCCCTGGCCCTGGAACCTCTGACTGAGGAGGAGCAGGTGGGGCAGGTGCCAAGGGGCCAGGTCGGGGCTGGGGTTGGGAATGTGGGGGTGATTGGGCACCTGGGTCCTCATCTCCCACCCCTGGCTCCCTCCTCAGAGAAACTTCTCCCTGTCAGTGAACAGTGTGGCTGTGCTGAGGCTGATGGGAAAAGGGGCTGGGCCCCCCCTGGCTGCCACCTCCCGTGGCAGGGGCAGCACGCGGAGCCGAGGTAGAGGGATGACTACGTGTTTGGGGGTGGGCAGAGCTGGGGGCTTGTGGTGCTGAGGGTGTGGAGAGATGCTCTGGCAGGTCTCAAACGCCCATGTGTCCCATACTTCTCCAGGCCGTGGCCGTGGTGACAGTTGCTTTTACCAAAGAAGCATTGAAGAAGGTGATGGGGCCTTTGGAAGAAACCCTAGGGAGATCCAGCGAAGCCAGAGCTGGGACGACAGGTGAGGCTGGAAGGAGGTGGCACAGGGTCAGAGCAGGGAGGAGCCCAGGGTCCTGCAAAGGGAGGTTTGGGTCTTTGCCACTAGAGATAGGTGCAGAGACCCACCCATCAGTCTTGGTCAAAGCCCTCTGTGTCTTCTGACCTCTGGGCCCTGCCTGCCCTTTTCCTTCTGATTGTTGTAGGGCTCTTTCGATGTGTTGGATTCCCACCTCCCCGCTTGACTTCCCTTTTCTCAGGGCAAGGTGGAAGAGCTATGTAGCAATCCCACAGGATAGGGTAGGGAGGGGGAACCAGACTGTTTTTGACCAACATCTTTGTCTCCTACAGAGGTGAGAGGCGGTTTGAGAAGTCAGCAAGGAGGGATGGAGGTATGAGAGTGGCAAGCATGGTGGCCAGAGGTGGGGGGTGACTACAATGGGTAACCCCAGGTAGAGGGAGGTTTTCTGGCAGTAGTGCAGACAGGAGAGCCTACAGCAAGCTTTAGTTAGAGTCTTCCAGGTACCAGGACAGCCATTCTGCTAATAGTCTGTCTTTCCCACCACCAGCACGATCTGGGTTTGAGGAGGGAGGGGCTGGTCCAAGGAAGGAACATGCTCGCTCAGACAGCGAGAACTGGCGTTCCCTTCGGGAAGAACAAGAAGAAGAAGAGGAGGGCAGCTGGAGACTTGGGGCAGGACCCCGGAGAGATGGTGATCGCTGGCGCTCCACCAGCCCTGGTAAGATTAGAACAAGGTAGTGTTTAGGAAGTATCTCATGCGGCCTCTTGTAGCTGAAAGGGAGGAGCAGAGAGCTCTTGCTAGGGTGGGGTTGGGGTTGAGTTGGAGAGCAGTCCTTGTATTGGTGGGTTGGGG